AAATAAGAAGTTTAGGATTTTTCCACCAAGTTTCACATTCAAATGGCAAAGCGTTACACCTAGTCTCTAAAGAACTCTTAATCACATCAGGAGCCTGAAGGTAGATGGCTATCAGCGTCAGAGGAGATAGCGCACTCAAACAGACCAACGATGTCAGGCTTTAAGGTCAGAAGCCCACAGCTCTAAACCACAGTTAAGCCAAGTCTAATGCCATCTCCAGGTTTGAAAAGGCAGATTTGCAGGTTTCTTCCTACATTTTCCATTGCACACAGACTACAAAGAAAGAATGATACTCTGCCAAAGCATACGAGAGATTATAAGCAAGAACAGAAACCCTGAAGTCAAGGAAGTTTTTGAAGTGTTTTTAAGAGCAACACCAAGTACCTTTTTGCTGCTGCTGCAATTTCCGCTTTACACGCAAGAAGAACTTCTGAGGGGATTCCCATACAAGAGGGTCTACAGCTAATGCTTTCGTGGTTGGGTTCTCAGGAATCCGAGCACAAAGTAATTCTGGAAAATAATAACACAAAATAAATCTTTGAATTTGGGGAAGAAAAACATTTGGGGGGGCAGGGGAAGCAAAGTACGTACTTCAGAAGATACTAACTCCACTATATAACAACATATTTTCTTTTCTTTCCCAAGATGGCTGGGCAATATGACCTTTCCCTGTCCATCAAGGGGTCAGCTGTTCTGTTGAAAACCACTCTCAGGGGTGTGTGTATGCACGTCTGAGTGTGACCCAGCCTACAGGCACCTGCAGGAGTTCGGGAGTCCCTACAAACAGGGTGCATTTCATAGTAATAAGGTCTAACAAGTAGCACCAATACTAACTGCTTTTGATATTCAATCAAAAGTCATTAGCAATTTGTGATGTGATAATGCGAGGGCAAAACCATACCTTTGGAAATCTGTTGTTAAAAAGGGAAGTAAGCTTTACAAGCTTTCACTTTTTGTAAAAATCATAGAATCCCAGACTGGTTTGGGTTTGAAAGGACCTTTAAAGGTCATCTAGTCCAATCCCCTGCCGTGGACAGGGACATCTTCAACTAGATCAGGTTGCTCAGAGCCCCGTCCAACCTGACCTTGAGTGTTTCCAGGTATGGGGCATCCACAGCTTCTCTGGGTACCCTGTACCAGGTCCACCACCCTCAGTGTAAAAAATACCTTCCTTATATCTAGTCTGAATCTCCCCTCTTTTAGTTTAAACCCACTCCACCTTGTCCTATCGCTACAGGCCCTGCTAAAAAGTTTGTCCCCATCTTTCTTATAAGCCCCCTTTAAGTATTGAAAGGCCACATTCAGGTGTCCCCAGAGGCTTCTCTTCTCCAGGCTGAACCAGCCCAACTCTCTCAGCCTGTCTCCAGAGCAGAGGTGCTCCAGCCCTCGCATCATCTCCGTGGCCTC